AACTCAAGTCGTGTCATAAATCTACTTTCCTAACCAAAAGTAAATTACCAATTACTCTTGATTATTGAATAAGGGACAGTGGAATTAAAGCAAAGAGAGGAGTTACTTGACTTACGAGTACTCAACAATTGCAAACTAGCGACCAGGATCATGGGATTGTCCGTTGGCCCACGCCACCCGCCATCGCGTGCGGCCCTCGCACAGGGTATTTTGTCTGTAAATGTTTTTCAATAAAATTGTGTGCGAGGCCGATCGGGTCATATAAACATAGAAACTTATGCTCGTAAGAAGGATTTCCATCAACACATCACCCTAAGCACCGTTTACCTCATAGGGATGTGTGCTGAAATACTAAAAAAAAACTATCACTCAACGACGTTCTCAGCCGGCCACAAGAAGCCATGACAGTGCTGTGTCCGATCCTGAAAAAGTTTTTTGGAATAAACCTCTTGAATGAACTCCGCCCGCGATTTAGCATGATTTTAAGTAATTAACTCTATAGTATTTGTTACACTGGAGTGATGATTAAGAAACTTTTGCTCTCAACAGACACAAACCTAGACAGGCTAATTAGCATTCTACCTCACAGGATGAGGCCGAGACACCACAAAGAGGAGACAAAGTGCTGAGGCACAACAAAACTGTTACATTCACTGTCTTTGTTCAGTGTTTAGGTTTTAGCACGCCAAAATAACCCAAATTCGGTTCCGAAACGGTTCAGTTTAAGTGATTTTTAGGTGAAAACTTCTTTAATTTACTTTGCCTGCGAATCGGCATGACCTGAAGTAATTAGCTCAAAAACATTTGCTACCGGGGTTATGATGTGGAAATCAATGCACCGGGGAAGAGTATCCGTATCAATTCATAAACGTACTGCACCCAATTAACGACTTCTTCCGTGCCGAGATGGTGTGCTACAATTTCATTACATTTCACAGTCCACAGAAATCCCCACCCACCAGATTTGTAAGATGTAACTGACGAAAATGAGAAAAAATAAGCTATCTTTTCGCAACCTCCACTCACTTCATCCAAACGCGACAAAAACATAGGCAATTTTTTGGTCAGAAGTTCATTCCAAACTAATGATCAACCCGGCACTTTTTTGGTCAGAAGTTCATTCCAAACTAATGATCAACCCGGCACTTTTTAAATGCGCTCGCGCACTATGCAAAACTTCTCCTTTCATTCACAACGCTGAGATAATATCGGGACCCAAGCGATCCATTAAGATCACTGATCACTTCACGTGCACATCCGCCAACGTCATCTATTGCATAACTTGCACTTATTGCAAAAAAATATACATCGGCGAAACAGGAAGACGACTAGGACACCGATTCCAAGAACACCTTCGCCACGTAGAAAGGAATGACAAGGAGGCATCAAAACCAGTCGCTAGACACTAATCTACCTAACCATTCTAAGCAGCATAAGGCAATCTGCGGTCTCTCCTTCAACGAACGCTTTTCATTCTACTAATTTATGCGTGTTTTTCTCGTCACCATGTTCCCATCAATAGCGTAGCTCCACTTTCTGCGTATAAAACCCACACACAACCCACAACTCCTCCATTCGCTCTGACGAAGGGCTAACGCTCGAAAAGTCCGCTTTTTAACTCATTACTGTGGCCAATTTACAATTCCAACCTAGTTGATATTACCAAAGTACCTTGTTACCCCCACCGACGCAGCACCACAGTTTTTTCAGAAACTTACCCTGTTACCCCCTTTATTTAGTCGATAGCCTGAGTATCGGGCTTTCCAACGGGGATGTTTGTTGGGGGAAATCCCCACCCCACCCCATCCCCCTCCGCAGGAAGGTCTAATACTCAGGCTACATATATTTGCATGAGGCGCGTGAGGATCTCGCTCATTGTTTCGAGGCAATAGTCTAAGCAACTATCACCAGTCCTCCTTGGGTCTTCTCCCACCCGGGCGAGTTCACTATTTAACATCGCTTCAAACTTTGCAAGTCGGACGGATTTTGTTAAAGGGTGCAAACGTTTAGTTACGTAATAGATATCATGGTCTATATTAGACTTGAGGAGTTGAGCTTGATAATCATTGGATAGAAAGTTTTGCTTTCGTGGAGTGAATTAAAGCTATTTTTAATTCCAACTTGAGGGGAGGTGTTCTTCTAAATGAGCAGCACAAAGTATGGTTTTTGAGTTGTATTGATCAAAAAATGAGCAAGATTTTGATCGCTATGATCTCAAATCACATAAAGCTTTAAGCGAAATAAGACGCCATAGAGACTTCTCAGTCGTTTTCGCTCAGGATTACTGAATAATAGCGCAAGATAAATAAACGCTTTGTATAATTCGAGTCGAAGTTTCTGGTGAATTTAATTATAATTGTCTTTAGCACTAAAACAAAACTTCATCAAGGTTATATCTGAGATAAAACGTGCATTTTATGGACACATTAGGACATGTAGAAAGATTATTGTAACAACTCAATGAGACATCGTAGCTTTCCCGTATTTCCAATTAAGTAATATATCGTTCAAATATAGACGATTAACGTGGGGCACGCATTACTTTTGCACAGCACTGTTGAGCTATGAGCTTTCAAACTACTGTACCACTGTACACCCTAACATCAGTTTGCACATTCTCCATACTCTTCTCTAAATAAACATTTTCTTTGGTACTGACAAGGAGATTTCATTTAAAAATATCAAAGCTTCTCAGGTTGCGATCATTACCTTGATTCTCATGATCTTAAATGAATGATTCAGCAGCATTATAGTAAAGAGGAATTAGAAGCTGTTCAATCTTTTCAGTGGTTTAACGGGTTAAACCGGAAGATTCGATTAATTGCAATTGGTTAAAATGTCTTCATTTCGTGTTTTCTTTTCAATTACAAAGTGATTAAATTTTTATTGAATATTCTTTTGTTTAAAATCCTTCTAAATCGGCATTTGCGTAAATTCAAATGTCCAACTGTTAGAATAAATACGATTTTTTACCATTAACGATTGTAATTAATAAATTAAATGTGGAGAACGTGCCTCTATAGTATTTAATTTTTTCCTCAGCTTGAAACTAAATGTTTATTACCTGTTGACCCATTCGGCTGAAATCATACCTTATCTCCTTTCTCGTTTTTTTTTTTAAGGTGAATATGCTACCTAACTCCAAATTTTTTCTGGACAAAGGCATTCTAAGGGAAGCATAAGAAAAGAAAACTAATACAAACACGGATAAAAAAGCTTAACAAAAGGTTTGGATAGCTGATAAACGTTCAACTTACATAGACGAGGAGGTATTAAAGATTGATTTCACGCAAAAGATAAGAAAAATAAAAACGGTTTTAACCAAGCGAGAAAGGTTTTTATTTTCCAAATATCAGTTTTCTATAATAGTAAACTTACCGGAGCATTTTCTGATCAGCTTTCTTTTTTTCTGAGCTTCACTTAGAGCTTTATTCGAAAGTTATCAAAAGATATGAGAGCTATTTTGCACTCATAAAATTCCAATGGCTGTGTCAAAATGATAACTTTTCTCCATCATTTTGACACCCAAAATGTCCTTTCTTAACCCGAGAAAGCAGAAACCCTTAATTGTGATAAACAAAATGTCACGATTGTTATGGAACACTCTGAAGACGAATTCATCAAAATGTCATTAGGGTTTACGTGTCATTTTACTATTTCAATAGTGCCAAATTTTGGAAATGCGAAAAAGGACTGAAGGATGCGTTGGGAAAATCTCTTTCTCTTTTACCTCGGCTTGAATTGCGTGATGACCTTTTCGTTTGCCGTTGACCAGTGCAGATCAGAAGTTAACGAACAAGAAATGGCTCTTGAGGGATTTGTCTTCAAAAAGATTTTAGTTCCAGCCCCTTTCATGTGCGATGTTGAATGCGAAAAAGAAATCACTTGTCAGAGCTATAATTACATTGTGAAAGAAAACATTTGTGAGCTGAATAACCGTACGAAGGAAGCAAGGCCCGAGAATTTTCGCCGAGACCCTTCAAGGTTTTATATCAGACGTTTGGCAGGAAGAGGTATACCGCTGTTTATTTAAGTTAACCAGTTTTTGTTATAACGTCTCCATCACATACTTGTTTTTGTTCATGCAGAGGACGAGGTAATTATAATAAGTTTTGCCAAAAAAATTGGAATAAGAGTTGCAATGATAACTTTACAGTTAGTATTTATAACGAGTTAAAGTAATAAAGTCCGTCGTTTTTGTCAAAAACAGTTCCTCTGGGATCTATTCCCGAGCTACCAGCGCAGTCTTGCCATGAAATTAGAGCGAGTGAAGGAAGAGAAACTAAAGGAAATAAATACTGGATCGACCAGGCTGGAAATGGTACAGCAAGATTAGGTTCCTGTGAAGAGAGTATGAGAGGTCAGTCAAAATCTTTAATAAAGCAGTGTGTCGAAACGATTAAACCAAAATCATAGTAATTACAACCTTCAATCGGAGCGAAGATCGTTAGCCAGTGAGAAATCAACGTGAAAACAAACAAACTACATAAAACGCGGAAAAACTGGAGGGACCAAATTAAACCAAGATTGGTTTTATAAAACTACAGTTTTGAAACTGATTGGTTGATGTGGCGCGAGTTTTCACGACCAATCACAGCGCGAAGTTAAGCAAAATCAAAGCAGTCATGGGTTGATTTCCACACTCAATTGGAAACTGCCCTAACTATGATCGATAGGCTTGGGATTGAACCTTTTTTTCAGAACGACCGTAACAAGCCGCGCAAGTGCTATACCCCTGTGACTGCTACTTGCAGGGCTCACCGGTCTTAGTTTTTTGTTTGTTTGTATCTACCTATATGTTATCTTAATACCTCTAAAAAGCCTCAGGCTGAAGACAGATTTGGCCAAGAATTAGAAAAGTTACGTTAATTGAAAGAGAGGTTTTATCTTTATTTTCCAGCTTGGTACAACTTCACAACGCTGGGTGCCACAAAAAGACATGGCCCAGACAACAGTACTGGTTACAGAGGAACTGGGTGCGAAGGTGTGCAAGTGAAAGGTGGAAAACAAGAATGGACTGTACCATTTACTGGGCGATTCCACCTGGAGGCATGCGGAGCTTCTGGTGGGAGGGGTTTAAGTAGCGCTGGAGGCAAGGGGGCTAAAATTAATGGCACTGTCAGGTTGGAAAAAGGAGTCAAACTTGTTATACTTGTTGGACAAAGAGGCTCGTCGCGAGGGAGTGGTCACTCAGGGAGTGGAGGTGGGGGAACCTTTGTTCTTTATTCTCCTCGGATGAGGCCTCTTCTCGTTGCTGGTGGGGGAGGGGGTGGTGGATCCCAAAATGGTCATCCTGGTAACGATCAAGTCGATGGAAGCGGTAACGGTGCAGGCAGTAATGGGGAGGGCGGCCTTCTTTGTGGAGATCCTGCACTAGCAATGCATCCCGATTCTGGATCTGGAGCAGGTATTAACGGAAGTGGAGGATGCTTTAAATCTGCCAGTGTTCAGTCAGGACAACTATGTATGAAGACAGACTGTGAAAAAGGAGGGAAATCTTTCATTGTTGGAGGAGAAGGTGGTAAGGCGGATTCAGCTGATTGCCATGGTGGTTTCGGTGGTGGAGGAGCTTGCGACGGTGATGGTTACCCTGGTGGAGGGGGTGGATATTCTGGTGGTGGAGTCGATTCTAGCGAAGGTTGGTCAGCGGGAGGTGGTGGAGGGTCCTTTGTGGAAAACCCAACTTGGATTATTATAAAAGGAGGCTGCGATGAGGGGGATGGGTATGTTTCCTTCACTAGAGATAATTGAATCAAAAAAGGACGTATTACTCTGCTTCAGCATCAACTCGGCTTTTTTAAGTTGCTATTCTAAGCAAAATTATCGCTTTTGGCTTTTTGACTTTGGTTGACTTCAAATTATCGTTTAAATTTGTTTTCGTTTAATTGTATTGAGATGCTGTAATGACGCTCGCAACAGTCTTTACCAGTGCACAATTACTTTTTAAAACAGTTGATAGTTGGCGTCAAATTAACAAATTTTAACTGTTGGTCGAAGGAAAAGGTAACCGTAAAAAATTTTATTCGTACGAAACAGAAAGTAATTTACCGTTAGCCGTAAAATAGCCAGAATTTTAAATGAGTGTTAGCCGTAAAAGCCATTACCCCATTGATACCCTCGGTGGATGACACGAATAAAATTTCAAGTTTTGCAAGGTCTCCTTATCAGTTTGTAATGTGTTTGCATGTCAAGGGTAGATTCTCTGTTAAACCTCTCGCCTTTATATACCTTTGCATCCAAGAACACAATTTTTGAGTCTGATTTCCAGCCGTGCATTTGATTGTGTCGTGATAGGAGTGTTCGCCGTTTTACACATTATTATACTTTGTCTTTAGTTGTGTTCCACAGACGTAGCCAGAAAACGTCGTCAATATAACTCTTCCAAACTAGTGATTTAGTTTTGCTCTGGGTGATAATTTTTTGCCATAAATGTTGGCAAAATTCTGGTACCCACTGCCGTTCCGTTGGTTTGTGAGTAAAAGTAGTGAGTTCCCGGATAATAACAATAACAACGGCGCACAAAGCACACTGGTTGAGCATGGTCCTAGTAAAAACTTGATTCAAAAGCTGCCATTTGTGGAAGCAACAATTAAAATGATGAAGTTCTCATACGATATTCTTTGGTAAAAATTGGAAAGATAATCAAAACTGGCACATGATGAAGGTTAGTGAAACATTGTAAACGTATGCAAATCGCCTTTTATGTAATCGGCTGGCGTGAACTCTCGGGAACCGCAAAGAAAATACGCGATCAGATCGCCGAAAACAATTTTCCAACACATCGCACATGGGTAGATATTGAACACCCTACTAACGCCTTTTCGAAACTCATTCAGGGTTACTACTTTTCTAGCGCCAAGCAAAACAAATTCGAAAACGTTAGTTCGAAACCAGACAGACAAGCGGATTCTGTACCCAGATAAAGCAGATTGTTCCCCACTCCGGCAAAAGTGTCTCGAGAAATTTTCCGATTTCTTAGAAGTATTCGCTGGGCTCTACGCACGGCGTCAGATCTCCCGTTTGCTAAATAATGTTTAGTTCAAAAAAAAGAAAAAAAAAATCGTCGATGCTCCATATCCCAGAGAAAGATAAAATACTAGCATATTTCACCATGCAACCTTTTCAAATAAATTATAGAATAAACACACAATGTACTACACATGCACTTGCATGCATGCTCTGCTCCAAGTGACTAAGATAGATTCGATTTTTCCTATCTGAAGTTTTATTTGCGACTAATCTTTTATAGAAATCATGACGAGACTTTGTTATGACATTGGTTATTTTCATCCATCATCCTTTTTTTTGCAGGTTTCTTAATTTTGGTTTCAATCGTCAAACGATCACGATACTAAACTCGACGAGTGTCACGTTTTTTATAAGGTAAGAAGCAAAAAAAAAAAAAAAAACTAAGTCATTGATACTCTCCTTCCTTATTAATTTCTGACATTAGCTTGGTTATCTTTTTAATTTGGTGGTGGAAGATTTATAAGAGAAATCAATTTTCAAAACTTGAACTTAGATTTTTTTATCGATCACGTTGGTCAATATTTTGATGCTTACCCGGGTGACTCTTTCCATTTTTATCCATCTTTCTTTTACAGGTGTTATCTTAGTTTCTCCGACCTTGCTTCTGGTTTCTCCTGTCAAACGATTAGGCCACGAATAATTAGCACATGTCTGTTTTGAAAGGTAAACAGCTTTAAAAAAAAATAATTTAATGATGTCATTTAATATTTCTCCTTAATAAAAAAAAGCAATGTATGGAAACTTGCTAAGATGCAGTGCTAGGAATACTAGAGATCCAAACAATCTTAGAAATTGAGGATCGAAGATTTTCCGCTACAAAGTTTGACATGAACATGTTAAATTTGTAAGAAAAACAACTTGGTTTGCACCGCAATAAACCTTCATCTCGAAGATCTCAATAATTCTCTGTTTTCGCTGCAAAAAATTTTCTTAACAATAAGTGTAAAGAATTTGCTACTTGGTCCAGATGATAACCCGTCTAAGCCGATCAGTTTGTGTATTCTCATTACCTGTTGGCTCGATCATGAATAGTTTGGTATTAAAATTACAAGAACAAGTCACTTGTCAATCACCTATGAATATTAAATCAGAAACGCGGAAAATCCAACTTCAAGAGCAGAAAATTATAATGCAAAATGCACGAACTTTAATCGTTTATGAGAAAAGTGTAAAGCTGTGGTATTGCAGTATTAGCTTTTAAAAGTATTTTTTGTTATGGATCAATTCCTTACTTAGTAATAATACTATTTATTTGCATTTATCACTGAAAGGGACAGTTTTGTTTTCAGTCCCTTACTTCTGGCTTCATTAGTCAAACGAGCAGAATACTGAACTCAGCACTCTTTTCCTTTCAAAGGTGAGCTGTCTTTCTGTTATATTTCTGTTATTCTGCGAATCAAATACTGCAAGGAGCAAGTTGTAGGCGTTACTTAGATAATTGGGAAAAATACTGGCCCTATTACATCGTATTTTAAAGATAACGTTCCATCGCTGGGGGACTAAATGATATTTAAGGAATCATTCTTTGTCATCGAATATTATAGGGACCAATTTAAGATTGTTTATAAAATGATTTTCCATTTGATGAAACTTTCTAACAGAAGCAAATTTTTGTTAATTACTGTTTGCAATTTGACACTGATACGAGTTGGAGCTGCAGGTTTCGAAACCTATCGTATAGGTTGAGTCTCAAAATCAGATTATTTTTCCAGCAAAATTTTTCAAGGATTGTTGTTTGTGCACAAATGAGTAGTTGGGGAAAGCAAAAAAGGAATGTTGCCCAACACGCGTTCGTGGAAAGGAAGCAACTTCCATTAAAACATGTGCAGAGAGAAGGCCATTAAGAACCATCATCCTCTTTGGTTATTGTGGTTTTCTGTGTTTTCCCCTTGTTTATTTTTTCCGTCAGGGGCCCTTCTGTCTAACACAAAAAGGTGATGAATAACGTGCGTGCAATCCTAGAAAAGATCAGGATAGGCTTGGACGTTGCCATATTTCTTCTGAAGACTGATCGTGGTATGCAAGCCACTGAAGTGTGTGGTGAATGTTTAATTTTACTAAACCATCTAGACTCCGGTATTAAAGGCCTTGATGCCATTGAAGTGCTATTCAACGCGTACTACGCAATCTCCGGTTACACAAACGCAGAGAATTACGCCGGGGAACTTATGAGCAAGTTCCACAATGTTGGAGTGTCGACGAAAAAACTGGGACGAAAATGTCAAAGAAGAGGTAGGCTAACCGGAAGCCGCGAAACTATATGGAAGCGCAATTGCTATCATGAAAACCATTGGCCACAAAACAGAAGAAGCAGTGGCTTATGGGAGCCTTGGACCTGTGTTTCAATCACAAGGTGAACTTCAGAAGGCTAAAGAGTATCATGAGAAAGCACTTGCAGTCGCAACAAAAACTGGCGACAGGAAAGAGGTAGGAACATGTTACGGAAACCTTGGACTTGTGTTTCAATCACTCGGTGAATATCAGAAGGCTAAAGAATATCACGAGAAAGCACTTGCCATCGCAACAGAAATTTGCGACATGGAAGGAGAAGGAGGAAGCCATGTAAATCTTGGAACTGTGTTTCTATTACTTAGGAAAAATGAGCAGGCTAAAAACATTTGGACAAAGCACTTTCCATTAGCACAGTGAGCGGAAACAGAAAATGTGAAGGAGAGTGCCACGCAGGCCTGGCAAGTTTTTTTTATTCGCTTCATGTTTACCAGAAGGCTACAGAACATGATGACAGAGTCCTTGCTATCAGCATGAATGTTGGCGATAGAAAAAGCCAAGGAAGAACGTGCCTACACCCTGGGCATCTGTCTCTATCAATGGGCAACTACGAGGAATCAGAAAAATACTTTGAGAAAGCACGTTTGATAAGCAACAAATTGGAGACATTATGACCGACTTCGAAAGCCTTCTCGGTATAACTCTGTTAAAGATATCGCTCTCAGAGGTAGAGGAGGCAATGCGATACCTTTTTCAAAGTCTTTAAAAAATATGAAGAGATGCGAATTCTCCTCGAAGGAAACGACGACTTTAAAACATCTCTCTTAGAGGGGCGCGGTAATTTTCCTTACAAGTTGTTGAGTCAGTTGCTTTGTGTCACTGGAAGCCATCGAGATGCTATCTGTGTGGAGGAGCTGAGACGAGCTCGAGGTCTTGCAGAACTAATGGCAGATAAGCTATCAGTTAAAAGCCACATCTCAGCTGACTCAACATCATGGTTTGGGGTCGAAGACATTGTAAATAAAGAATATAGCTGTGCCTTTTTGTACGTTGCATATTGTGAACGGCATGTCCATCTGTGGGTTTTGAAAGCAAAGGGAGACAATGGAGACATTAGCTATCGAGTGAGCCCCGAAATGAAAATCGACACTCTCATCGCTGCATCTGTTTGCGATGTGGAGGGAATTTTTAAGAGAAGTGCCTCCAGCTTTGGTGTTCTCATGGATGAGAACTGTTAAGATCGATCTCTGGATGATGACATTCCCATGCCTCTTCATGAAGGGAGCCGAGCAACTTTGCGAGTTAATCAAACCATAGACAAGGCCTAAAAAATTCTTCAATTGTGTCATGACCAGATTATCGCTGCTGTAGAAGATCTACTCACAGAGCCTGAGATCATCATTGTGCCAGAGAGGTGCTCGTAACGAGTCCCTTTTGCTGCCTTACGAGACGAAACAACTGGAAAGTGTTTATCAGAAACACATCGAATCCGAATCGTCCCTTTTTTGACAACTTTTGGGCTCATTCACGAATGTCCAGTAGACTACCACAGTCAGATTGGCGCTCTAGTGGTGGGTGATCCTACAGCTGTCAAAGTACAATAAAAAGGTCGTACCATACAGTTGAAACCATTGCCTTGTGCTGGAATGGAAGCAGAGATGGTAGGCCGACTCTTAGGGGTTCAGCCATCGTTAGGAGAGCACGCAACAAAGGAAGTGGTACTTCAAACAATTCATTCAGTGAGCCTGATTCACCTTGCTGCTCGTGGTAACGCTGATAGAGGCGAGATTGCCCTTTCCCCTAAGTGCACTTGGAACAATATTCCACAAGAAGAAGACTACCTTTTGACAATGTCCGACATTTCAAAAGTTAAGCTGCGGGCCAAACTGGTAGTACTCAACTGTTGTCACAGTGGGTGCGGAACGTTTAAAAAAGAGGGAGTCATTGGAATCGCTCGGAAGTTCCTGGCATCTGGTGCACGTTCAGTGTTGGTGGCATCATGGGCCATACAAGACGAAGCAACAGAGCAGCTTATGAATCAATTCTACGAACATCTGGTAGCTGGTGAAAGTGCCAGTGAGTCCCTTCACCAGGCCATCAAGTGGTTGAGGGGCAACGGCTTCGCCGAACCTAACCAATGGGCTCCGTTTGTACTGATGGGAGACAACGTGACATTTGACTTAACGAAACTAAGGTAAGCTTGTTTGTTATGAATGATTTTGTATAAGTTACATTAACATTAAAGATTGTGGACTGATTTTTTCTTTCATAATCAGAAAAACGTTCCAAAACTTTTATGACAGCCAGTTTTTATCTTACGTATAAAGGGAATACTTTGACGGTTTGTTAACTAATCTAGGTATGGATCGGTGTAACTTAAGTGTGGATGATATCAATTGTGCAATGATGTAACGCTTAACAAGACGCTTGACAAAGAACACAATTTGAGCGAAATAAATAAGCAGACAAATCGATGAATAAATGGTCGATACATTAAAAAAAAATTTGAGCAGGCTATCTTTAATTTAGAACAGAAATTATTACAACAACCTGGTGATGGTGCATGCGTGTTTTCCGTGCTCGTAACAAGAGTTTAATGTATTTCTTTACTTAAAATTTTTGTCTCAGGCACAAGGAACTGACGAACGGTTGAGGAGAATGAGGCGGAAAAGAAATGGAGTACTGACTGATTCTTGACAAAAATACTTCCTCCTGTGTACTGTTTTAAAAAGGAAACTGGTCTTATTTTACACAAACATTTTTGAATTTGCACTGTTCTTTTGTACGCTTCTCAGGTGTCCAGCGAGCGACATGCGACTCACCCTGGCCGAAAGTTCCATCTGGTTTACCAAGAAGGGACAAAAATGAACAGATGATTGCGGAACTGAAAACAGGAAATACTCGATGATTTTTTACGATGCTTAAATTATAGCGCAGTTTCTTTTATCTTGGGATCACAAAAAAGTTTTTAACTGTTATATTCCTAAGAAATGATTCTCAATTCTACCCACTACCCATAAATTTTTCTCTGAATTAATAAGGAGAATCAGTATGGCATTATGTCTTGAAAATAATCGCCCTCAGGTTGATTGTCTGATTAGCCTTCTGTTAGATCATAAATTATGGTTAGATATCTTGAGGTAGTTTTGTGAGAATAACATTTTTTATAGTAAGTCACTTCAATTAGTTAAAAGATAAAAGCGTACAGCCTGTTTAGAGTTTGCAACTGCAGAGATAGACGAATTTCATTTCAGATACTTTGGAATCATTTTCACCCATTGGAAGCGAGCATTGTGTGTATTGGATAATGTCACTTTTCTTTAATTAAAATATTTCCTTTTCGAAGTTAAGGTATTACGACAAAATTAAACTTGTTTTGCTCTAAAATATTTTCTGTATTTTTTCTTTTAAACAAAAACTGTGATCCTGTCTTGTCGACACTCGAATGAAAACTGCTCTTTTTAAGAGGAATTGTCTAATATGCATAACTCATCGTACAGTAAAGGCTGATACTTTCGAAAGAAACTTTTTGGGGCTGCGTTGGTGGGAGTAACGAAATAATTTGGATATATCAGTCGCTAGACATTTTAATTTACCTAATCATTCTAAGCAACATATGACAATCTGCGGTCTTTCCTTGCACTTAGGTGGCACGGAAAGCCGTAAAAATCTTGAACAAAAGCTCATCTTTCAAACCGGCAGTCTAAATCCCACAGGGATCAACGAACGCTTTTCATTCCACTAATTTATTCATGTTTTTCTCGTTACCATGCTCCCACCAATAGCGTAGCTCCATTTTCTGCCTTTAAAAGCACACACAACCCACAATTCCTCTATTCGCTCCGACGAAGGGCTAACGCTCGAAACGTCAGCTTTTGTAATCATTACGGTGGCCAATTTACCATTTCAACTTCATCGTACAATAGTTCATTTATGTTGTTTAATCTACTCTCTAAAAATCGCAAATTTTCTGGAAATGCCTTAATCTTCTGATAATAGAGTCGACTGAACTTCTCGACTATTCATTTCATCAAAATCGCAGTTTGCTTGCGGTGCACTATTTACCTTAAATCGAATTTGTTTTGACTGGCTCTGCTTAGTTTAAAGCTTTCACGGAATCCATGTTAAAATTTACAGAAAGTACTTAAAATGCTAAAACGTGAAAAAAAAAAATCAAATGAAGACTTACAAAAACGCACACAGCAAACGGTAAGCCCTAAGTCTTGAGTCTGACATTCACTTTGTGAGTAGTTTTCTTTCCAAAGTAAATAATATTTTCCATGAATTTCAAAATGAAACTCCTGCTAGTTTGTCGGTACAATTTTCTTGAAGCAAACACATGGCACCTTTTCCTTCTCGGAGAGTAGTTTGGGGTAATACTGCGTCGAGATTTTTTTAAGTTCATTCACCTTTAACGCGCTGCAAAAGAAATAAAGGCTTGAAACTGCGCAACCGAGACAATTTGATGAATTTCAGAAAACTAGTAATTGGTATATATCTGAAATCCCCTGTTTTTTTAGGTTGCGCGGGAAAATGCCAGTGATCAGTGACTAAACCGGATCGCGTTTGGTTTCTACTTTGCAAAGAGTCCTATCCGGATTCCTATTATTCGATTTTCTTGAATCTACCCAGACTACAGCGCGAGTTTCAGATAATAAACATGGCGGATGTACCAATTCGCAATCAAGAGGATCGGAACCACAAACGAGATAGATAATAGCTGATATGAGAGATTCCATTAGAGATGGATGAAGACGAAAGAAGGGGAAGACTGGATATTTATTATCAGCGAGGTAAATTGTTGTCCTTTGACGTGGCCAGTATGGTAATTAACACAACAGATAATTTTTTTTCTGACAAAACATGTTATGGTAATTCAGCCGGTAATTTCTTGATTATTTGGATATATCAACAAAGTTGAAATGGTAAATTGGCCACCGCAACGATTACAAAAGCTGACGTTTCGAGCGTTAGCCCTTCGTTACTCCCACCGACGCAGCCTCAAACAGTTTCTTTAGAATCTATCAGCCTTTACTACTTTAATTTTTTGATGAGTACAAATTGTGCAAAGTTTTTTTTTTCCTGGCGAAGGTTTTCGATTATATTTGATACTCTGTAGGCAATCCCGGTTATATTCCGGGAGGACGGAAATTGGTGGTTTTAATACTGGATACAATTACACAATTTATTGTTCTTGATAATAGCGTACGTGCTCAGCCTCGAAGCTCAGCATGTAACCTGCGACGCGAAAACAGCTACTGAATAAAGGCTGATAGTTTCTAAAGAAACTGTTTGGGGCTGCGTCGTTGGGGGTAACGAAATAATTTGAATATATCAACAAAGTTGAAATGGTAAATTGGCCACCGTTACAATTATAAAAGCTGACGTTTCGAGCGTTAGCCCTTCGTCGGAGCGAATAGAGGAATTGTGGGTTGTGTGTGCTTTTTAACGTAGCTCCATTTTCTGCCTTTAAAAGCACACACAACCCACAATTCCTCTATTCGCTCCGACGAAGGGCTAACGCTCGAAACGTCAGCTTTTATAATTGTAACGGTGGCCAATTTACCATTTCAACTTTGTTGATATATTCAAATTATTTCGTTACCCCCAACGACGCAGCCCCAAACAGTTTCTTTAGAAACTATCAGCCTTTCTTCACTCATTAGTTGTGTCAATATCTTTCAGTAACAAAACAAATCCTCCAGTATCAAAGTGCAAGCATTGGACTGCTTCCTCTACACACAGCTAATGTTCAGAATGAGGAGAGTCACGTACGAGACAATGTTTACTGCGCCATGGGAGTGTGGGCGCTGGCGCTTGCCTACAGGTGTGTATGGTTGAAGCCTGCAGTTGGGATGTACATGATTACTTACACCATGTTTAAGACAATTTTAGAGCATTGCACTCTGCACTGTTTTTTGTTTTGTTTTGTTTTGTTTTGTTTTTTTTTCATAATTTTAAGACCATTCTTTAACTTTGATTGAGCTATGGAATTCTGTGAAGCAGACATGGATTTCTAGTGAAAGTCATGATTTTCACTGCAAACGTTCTCTTTCAGACACATGGATGACAGCAAAGGTCGTGCGTATGAACTTCAGCAGGCTGCTGTGAAATGCATGAGAGGAATCCTGTTCTGTTACATGAGGCAGGCTGACAAGGTTACATTAGCCCTTTACACCCTAACAGCAGTATGCATATTCTCCCTACTGTTCTCTATACATTTCCAAAGGTGCTGACAAGGAGAATTTGTACAACAATCAAGAGCTTCTGTTGTTGTTGATCATTTTTACCTCATGGCATGACATAAGTCATGCAATAGGGTTCAGGGTTTGGGGACGAAATTCAATTAGAAATCACTCACTCACCTTGTTAGACATTAATTTATGCATTAAACCTGGATTAAACACTTTTTCCCCCCCTCCCCGACAAGTTTACCTGTTCAAAGTCACAGTGTACGTATATTTGGGGGTGGTACAAAGGCGAGAACATGCCGAACTACTTGGACAGATTCAAAATGGCGTCCTGTCCCTTGAAGTGTGATCGATGGTTTTATTATTCCAAACTTGATTGTGGAGCCAAAAATGGAGAGGAAATAATTGCTACAGAATACTCCACTGCAGAGGAAGGGGCGTCTGAGTCCTAAAGGGGATGATTTTTCTCCATCAAAGCGCATACAAACACAATAATTGTGCCAGCACGTGTTGCCGACGATCAAAAAACTTTCCAAAGAAAGCCAGATCGCAGGTTATGTCAAGGGCGCCAAAAATTCATACCATGAGGTTGCTCTTAGGAGCCTTTGATCTTTATTCTCCTGACCTTAAATGTTTGATTCAGGGATGATACTGTGGTGAGAAACTATAAGCCAGTCAGTCTTATGGGTTAAAGGGTTAAGTGTCGCAAAATATTTTATTATAGGTTCAGTATAAATGTTTTCGAAGTTTTCCTCTTCCTAGTCGAGTCTGTGGTGTGAAACAGTGGGATTATAAGGAATTTTGAAAATATGAAGAAAAAGAATCATTTATCGTTATATTTATATATCAATCTTGGATTATCAACCAAACAAGTAGTCAGGTAATTGGTTATATCAACTAAGTTGAAATAGTAAATTGGCCACCATAACGAATAAAAAAGCTGACGTTTCGAGTGTTAGCCCTTCGTCAAAGCGAGTGGAGGAATTGTGGGTTGTATGTGGTTTTATACGCAGAAAGCAGACCTACGCCATTGGTGGGAACATGGTAACGAGAAAAACACACAAATTAGTGTAATGAAAAGCGTTCATTGATACTTGTGGGATTACGGTCCAATTTACTATTTCAGCTTAGTTGATATAACCAACGAACGCTTTTCATTCCACTAATTAGCAACACAGTTTCTTTTAAATTAGAAACTTTCAGCCTTTAAACAAGTAGTCAATCAGTTGTTTGGCCATTTTCATTCTATGCCTCACTCATTCTCTTAATCAGTTGCATAGTTAATTCTTTGACTTCCAAGATCTCAATTTAATTTAGTAATTCTCCTTACTGTCTGCCATACAATTTTTATGATGTTTAGTGTCGAGAATCTGATATTGGATCAACAAAGAATCCCTAATTGATATTTTTTTCTTTATTCTCATCACTTGTCTGCTTGATATTGTATTGATATTATGAAGAAAAATTTTTTTGGTCTCTCATGCAAATGTTGAAGCATTTTAACTTTAGAATGCTTCTTCTCTATTTTAGTCATGTCTTATCAACTGAATAATTGCATTTATCTTTTTTTTTCCTCTGTTAGGTAGAACAATTCAAGAAGAATCAGTCAGCACAGCATTCCCTTCATGTCAAATTTAATGTGAACACTGGAGACACGATTGCATCAGTTTCAGAATGGGCTCATCTACAGGTCTGAAGCTACATTTGATTGTATCATTCTCTTCCATTTTATATCCAATCCTGATTAAGTTTGCTGTAAGTCTGGTTATTTATAAGCGGCCTGAAATTTAAGAAAAAACTGGGCCATGAAATCTATTGGAAAGCAGTTTAGTAAAGGAGGTTTTATTATATAAATATAACATTGTTATAATTACAATTTCATGTTTTGATGAAGCTCTGCATCTCTTTTTTTGTGTGTATTATTAGATTGATGCTGTGTCTCTCTACCTTTTAACCCTGGTCCAAATGACTGCATCAGGACTACAGGTAAATGGCGGACCTAAGGTGTCATTCATTTGTTAATGGTTTGAGGTCAAAAGAAACAGTTCATTGTTTAAAGTGAAACTCTGACCTCTGTTATGGTTATTCTTTTAAGGAACTCTTAGAGGCAAATCACACCAAGGAGCTGATTGATGACATTTTCAAAAATCATTTTATTTCTCAAGTTGTTGAGCTTCAAACTTGAGAATGTGCTGACCAGTAAATCTTATTAATAACTCTGGAGACACCTTGAGCAAAAAGTGCAATTTGCTACCTCATCAGATGGCCAAGAAGTAATTTAGTACAATTTAGTACAAACCAAACATTGCCCAGGCCTTCCTGGATTCAAAGTGGGAAATGGGGGGATACATTATATGTTGGATCACTGTGAACAATTATCTCTTGTGCTGGTAACATTTTTCAATTCATTTTGCAACTGGCTGTAGATATGACTATTTGTAATCAAATGCTTTTCTAATTATTTTAGATTATTTACACAAGTGACGAGGTTAACTTTGTTCAGAATCTTGTGTATTACATTGAGCGAGCTTACAGGACTCCAGATTATGGTATGTGGGAGAGAGGAAGTAAAGAGAACATAGGGCACAAGGAGCTTAATGCGAGGTGAGTGATTGTGTACCCTTAAAGAGGTTATGTGGTAACAATTGCATTGAAGTCAATGACTGTAGAGTGAGAACTGACAGAAAAACCTAGGGAACAACAGATGTCTATTGCAGTAGCAGTCGTTAACCATCATAGATCAGACAAGAGCACAATGAATAAGTAGAGGTGTGAAAAAGTGGAATTCTAAGAATAAGCCTTTGATTTGCACAAAGTGAGCTGGTTTATCCATGTTGGGTTGTTTTCTGCTGGTAGATGGGTGATATGGAAAAAAAAATTTCTTTTAATTTTTGCTAAGAAGAAATAGTCTGATTCATAGAATATACTTCTCTTTTTAAAAGTTTTCTTTTTAAAGAAAGCTTTTCAAAATGAAAGTTCTGTACTTTAATTGAAAATCCTGATTGGTATCAATAAACAAATTATTAAAAAAAATTGAAATGAGAAACCAGTGCTGAGATTTACGTGTAACCATGTAGTTAACAAAATAATCTAGTGTGTTGGTAAATTATGGCATGTAATTTTTAATGAATTGGTCTTTGGTTAACCTGGCATTTGTCCTCAGATTTTCCCTTGTTTGTTTTTGCAGTTCTATTGGCATGGCAAAGGCAGCCTTAGAGGCTATAAATGGATTTAATATTTATGGAATGCAGGTTAGCATGACCTTGGGGTGGGTAGTTTACAATAAAAAAGAATATACGAAGGCCATTAACTCAATTTACAGATGACAATAGGCATTGCTTGATGTTGGCCAATGACAAACCTTTTATGACTTTCAATGCTGGTATATCAGTTGATGACCTTTCAGTAACTTTTCAAGTGATTGATCAGTAATTCAGGGGTGCAACACATTCTTTTCGTAATACTGCTTTGACAGCATGTTGATTAATAATTGATGATCAATTGATTGATTAACTCAGCTGTTTGGGCTGTATGGATGAAACAGTTGTCATACATGTTTATGCATTTTGAGTTTTCTTTTTCCTTCTCCTTTTCAATCTGAGGCTTTTTATTTTAATTTTTTTTTTATTTTGTTTCCTTCCTCTATGAAAATCAGTGTTCCAAATAGAAATCCAGGGTTACAAATAGAAATTCAGTGTAGAAATGGGATGAACACCCCTCAGTGCCTCTGCTAAGATCCCTGACTACATTTTTATTAGAGCACTTATGATTGAGTGTTGTAAACCCCAAAGGAAAGGTTATAACAATGCCCACTGAGAGCAATTTTCAACTGGGTGTTGAAAGTAGTCTGGGATTGCTTAGGTTTTTCATTATTTTACTCTGTGATTGGTCCAGAAAAATTGTGCCACTTTCTCTTAACAAAGAACCAATTTTTTTCAGAAAAATCCATTTTTCAGGATTAAACAATCAAGTAGGTCTATTTAATGTAAAATCAGGCGAAAAAGTTAGGGTTAGGGTATCTTTTAGGGTTAGGTATCTTTTAGGGTTAGGGTATCTTTTAGGGTTAGGGTATCTTTTAGGGTTAGGGTATCTTTTAGGGTTAGGGTATCTTTTAGGGTTAGGATTAACCAATCAGAATCAAATTTAAAACCAAGCACTACTTGCTCACATGCAAATTCCTGGGCCTTAGGCAATTTGCTCGTTTTTACGTCAAGCTCTCATTGGCTTCTGCTATTATGTTCCTTGCCATGATTGCGGTCATTGTGATTGCTGAGATTTTGGTTTTCTGAATCACAGTTGAAAAGTTCTCTGGAGCAGAGGAAATTTCAAAACTCACTTCAAAGAAAGAATTTGAGGGACCAGCTGACAATTGTTTTAGATTTGCATCTGAATGTTTGAGAGGGTGGCATGAGGTTTCTGGACGAATTGCAGACATGTTAAAGCAAAGCCAATTGAATTTAAATGCAGATGATTTGCACCACTCAATCAATACTAGCTCCATATAAATCGGGTTCTTTAACAGCAACACCACACCTTATTCACACCCACAGGGAACCTCGTCATCAGTGATCTATGTTGATCCAGATGCTCATAACAGAAACTACACCATCATGCATTCTATGCTGCCAGTAGCATCCTCATCTAAGGTTAGAGACAAAGTTTTCCCTTGTTCACCCATTCAAGGTGGATGGATTGTGAAGCTTGTACTCTTCTTCACTTTCAATGCTTTAGTCTTAATTAAAGGCTGTATTCACACTTGGTGCTCAAGCACAGAGCCTGAGTAAGATTCTTGATGGGTGCTAATGTGAACACACTCTTCTTTCAAGATCCCATACCAGAATTCGGGCACCATGCCCATGCCCATGCCCGAGTACTTGGGCACTGGATCTGGCACTGATGTTTTTATTTTTATTATTATTATTATTATTATTATTATTATTATTATTATTATTATTATTACTATTATTACTATTATGTATCGGGCACCCAGTGGCTGAACAGAGCACCACTTTGTGCCGGTGCCCTGGCACTAATGCTAGTGCTCTAAGTGTGAACACAGCCAAAGTCTGAATTCTATGAGATTAACCCTTAAATAGGTAAGCCTACCAACTTATAGCAGTGTTCTAAGTATGTAGGCTAGTTTCCATGCAATTTGTGGCCAAATACCTCTGTAGTCCATGACCAGGTTGCCAGTCATTCCACACCCCCCCCCCCCTTCCAACGAAAAAAATAGAAAACAGTGCTGTCGATATTTTTTGATGTTCAAGGGACATCTGAACAGGATAAAGAGGCAAATTTTTATGAAAAAAAATGACCTGACATCAATTGTAATTTTTAAAGATTCAGTGTTACTTTAGAACTCAAAAGTGAAGTCACGAGTCCTTTTTACGTCACGTCGACTAAAATGGTTGTTGTTTGTAGCGCTTCCAACTTTTAAGTCGGGAGAAGCACTTTGACCGTCAGATGTCTTAAAAAAAAAAAGCAATACTTCAACCCACAGCTGTCTTCCCTGGAATCTAGGGTGCCAACCACTGGACAACCATATATCTTACTAATGATATTGGTAAAATTATATACATGAATGGCGTTCGAATTTTTTTTTTTTTCTTAAATTGTTCATTTGTGATCAGGTGACAGATGCATCCTTGTTAACGATCACTGGCTTTCCTGCTTTTGCTGTTGGCGATGATTCCTTGCGCCACCAAACAAAAGAAATGGTTTTGGAATCTTTGGAGGTAATCATCTAGGAGTTCTTTTCAACTTGTCTAGCCTTGTTTTTTTTTTTTTCGTCTGGCAACGCCAGTCTTTTTTTCAAGGGGCAACTTAGAATGACATCCCATGTTATTGACGTAGCATGAGATTTTTGTATTTGTAATGAAGGTAGACCACTGTTTAGCTTGTCAGCCTTAGTTGAATAGCAATGAAACTGGGCAAAAGATCGTAAAGATGATACTGTTTCTGCTCTTAACTTTTCCTTTTTTTATTTTTTGACTGAAAAATTGAAAATGACAGCAAAATGTATCACTTCCTTCGATATTCACAATCTCTACCTGTTGAACGGTTAACATTTTTCAAACGTTAAGGGAAACTGGTTCAAACACTGAACTCTCAACCTTTTTTCTTCTTTTTCAGGGAACCTATGGATTAAAGCGATTCTTACGTGATGGTTATAAAACTGTTCTGGAAGATAAAAATCGCAGATATTACGAGAAGAGAGAATTACAGGTACAACGTGCTTAAAGTGAAGGATGTAAACAATAGCGAAAATGGTATATCGTTGAACTGCAGTGATATATCGCTGAGCTCAAACAATGTATCCTTCAGGGAAAACGATAATTCACGAGGAACTCGGCGATACATCGCGGTTGTTGTATGTATCGTTTCAATTGGAAAATCGCTTAAGTATCCCTGGTATATCGCGATATTCGGCGATTATCGTTTGCATTACTTTTGCACAGTACTGTAGTATTAAAAAGTATCAACTCTTTTCTGTTATTTTGTTAATTTATTTACCATTATTAGCCTTATTATGCCATCGTATCAATGTTAGCCATGCCATTCAAAGATTTCCAAGACAATGGGTAAATTTTGCTGCCCTCAAGACAGTAATTTACGGAGTGATTGTTATATGTCAGAGGTGGCTGCTCTCTTTATATATTTTGTAAGTTAGAGTATTAAGCTTGTGCTAACTCTGCCCGGTTATCTTTTTCTAGTACGATACATTAAATTCAGCGCGCATGCATAAAACTGAAACGCTTTTCTTTTCTTCTGGTCTTTGACAGATATTTGATGGAATCGAAAACGAATGGCCAATCTTCTTTATCTACCTCGCTCTAGATGGTATTGTAATCTTAGAATTTATGATGTATGGGTTACGATGAATACTATTTCAGAGATTTCGCCTTTTAAATTTAAAGCACAGAGAGTTGAATTCACCGTGAGCCTGCTTTTCAACGAGTAATTCCATTTGTGTTTGTACTTTTTGTACCGTATCGTAAAAATGATTTTCCAGCCGTATCTGTTGACCTTCCCTTCAAATTGATAAAAGGGGGTAAGTTTCCAAAGAAACTGTGGTACTGCGTCGGTGGAAGTAACAAGGTCATTTGGTTTTTTTCAACTGAGTTACTAAATAAATGTAAATTGACCGCCGAAAAGAGTTTCTAGATAACATTTCGAGCGTTAGGCCCCTTCGTCAGAGCGAAGGAGCATCTTGTCTCATTATTAATGTTCTATATCTTCCCTATCACAGCCATGTTTAAGAATGATAGGGAAATTGCAGAGAAGTACGTCAAGAAACTGCAAGATGAGTTGCTTATAAGCACCGATACTGGTGAGTAAAATTTTATTAACTTTTGGTGTGGCTATTTATCTTAAAACGAACTCTATGGTTTGTAGAGTTACAAACTTTTTTTTTTTTAATTCAAGCTTCTCGCCGTAGAAAAACAAACCTACAATAATTCGAGCGTTAGCCCTTCGTAGGAGCGAATAGAGGAATTGTGGGTTGTGTGTGGTTTTAAAGGAAGAATAAACCTACAATAAACCAACTAACGAAACTGTTCGCAGTTACATCTGCGCTTGCTTCTAGTAAACTGGCTGACCTTCGCTGGTTTTAAGTCTTTGCTAACTAAACAATTTTTTGTTAATAAGAGGGGTAAGTTTGTAAAGAAACTGTGGTGCTGCGTCGGTGGGGGTAACAAGGTAATTTGGTTATATCAACTAAGTTGGAATTGTAAATTGGCCACTGTTAATGGTTAAAAAGCTGACGTTTCGAGCCTTCGCCCTTCGGCTTTCGCTCCTACCAAATTTTTCATTAGGGCTCCGATATACAAATTAGTTACTCAGTCGTTTTTGATAAATGGCTAGTTCACCCACCTTCATGGGATATTAATTTTTTTTCTAGGTGTGATGGAAATACAAGAGTTCGTTCTTTTTTTCTTTTTGTTTTCGTAGACGAATTTATCCCACATTATTACTATGTGCCGAAAATGTACCTTGACGCAGAACGGGAAACACCACATTCCCAGGTTCGACTGCCAAGCCAGGAAGATGGAGATCTCTTTCTTTGGGGACAGTCGCTTCTGATCATAATGAATCTGATAAGTAAGACTGACAGCGTTATTCAAAGCAAAAACTAACGGTTATTCTACAAGTGCGCGGTTGACAAGAAATTTAATCATCTAACACATTAACGGGAGGGAATGAAATAATTGTTCAAAACTTATTAAAGGAACAGAAAACGTCAAAAAGTTTTGCTAAATATAATGAAGTTTTTAGTTCCCGCCGCTATGATTGCTATGTGTCAACAAGATTGTGTTGTTATTATGAAAAACTGAAAAAAAAACAAAACGATTTATTGCAATGGTACAATGTAAATAAATGAAAAGGCGGTATGTGCCCCCCTGTACACCTAGAGCCGCAAAGCGTCCAAAATTGATAACTTTTAGTTGAGAACAGTTACTTCAGTGGCTCTATTCGAGATGACGTACAACTGATACCCGGTTTATACGTGATGTACGACTCACATGACTCACGTGGTTCACATGAAGGCCAAGCCAAGCTGAACAGTACTGGTGAATCACACGATGACCAACTATGAAAAGATTCATGCTTTGTTGAGGCAAAAATGTCGTTCAAACGGAAAAATGGAGCAAGCGTAAAGAGAACACTCTCTATCTGCTTTTTCTTATTATCCGATTATTATCATTACTATTATTGTTATGTTTGCGATTATTATCATCATTGATAGTCACCATCATCATCACATCTTTATTAGTATTGTTATTATTATTATTACTATGATAAATATAGCTATTAGAGCAACATATTACGTCTTTTGTTGTAGAAATAGGAATTAGGACAACCCAGATTTAATGCAATTTTGATTTTTGTGTGTGTGTTGAATAAGCCAATCTCAAGCAGCATTTGTAAATTGCCATTTCAAAACACAAATAAAGTTTCCATTATTGTTATTATTATTATTATTATTATTATTATTATTAATAATATTATTATGGTCATCATTATCCCTTGTGTACTTCTTGTAGATGATGGCCTGTTGGACGTGAACGAGATCGATCCCATAGGGAGGCACTTGTCTCACTCGGCCAAAAATCGCTACGGTCACAGCAGTTATAGATATTCTTCATTTAAGGTATGTTTTTATACAGTGTTTGATATAAAAAATGTTGCTACACCTGGCCTATCTAACCGTAGAATGCTGAGGAAAATATCAAATTATAGCTTTTAAAAAATGTACATACCACTATTACTCAAATAACTTTTCCGTAAACAAAATTCCACCTTTGGCTAGCACAGCAAACTGAGCAGTAGGGAAGTATTATATTTGCTCTGATACGTTTAGAAAGAATAGTTTTTCGTAATTGTTTTGTTTACCTTTCTTCTTCTAACTATTTTGTGCCTTATCAAGGTTGCTGACTTAGATTTGGTTGTTCAAGTCTCCCTGATCGCGGAAAGCAGAAAGTAAGATTTTTTACGAAGTTTCTTTGAAGCTTGACAAAGTCTACCAATTTTAGTCCCAGACAAGAAAAAGTCAACTGGCTTCGTTGTTTGTTAAACGGCTCCTGTAGTACCATAAGAATCAGTCTAATCCTTGTAACAACTCCCTTACGCTGCGTTGCGAAGTTCATGAGCCCCTGGTTTCAAATCGTTGTCAGCAGTTTGTATTTCTATTGCAAAATCGAACTACGAAATGGTCGAAGCATACAAACGAGACGACAAGCATTCTGCATCGAATTCGTTGTTTTGTAAGATTTTTTTTTGTATCTGACATTCTAGCTTGCAGGCTTCTTTGGCAACATTCGGCATTGAGACGCAGACACCGCAACAGATTGAGCCAATACAGATATGGCCGCCGTCAGAACTGGTGAAGGTAAAAAGACGTGTAAACGAGAAACCCTTCATAAGCTTGAATTAGAGATTAATAGTAGCCTTAGGTTACATTGGCTCCTTATCTTTATTTAGAAATTCGGCGCTAAAAACATTCCTGGGTAAAGCATTATTTTATTGGTGAAACACGAACGACAAAACGCTTTGGATAGTTTATTACATCTAATTGAGATATTTCGACAGGTTGGCCTAATTCACCTTTAAAGCCGGTTTACTTGAGGGCCTGCCTGTTTAAACAAAAACAAGGCCAGACTATAACACCGGGAGCTGTGTTCCTTTCCCTTTCCGAGATATGCGTAGGTTCTTTAACACCTCTTGATAACAATACTCTTAACGAGATATTTGTGGAGAAAAAAGACGACTGACCGCTGCAGACTGAATTTGTAGCTGTGTATGTAATGTGTAACAACCAGTGGAAACCAGTGGTGTATCATGTCAGTGGTTATTTTTTTCCTCCTGTAGGCGTACAAACGCCTTGGTGTCAATCGTAAACTAGGGTTGACTGGTCGACCGACGAGGCCCATAGGAAGTCTGGGAACCAGTAAGGTATGAGAACACTTAAACTTACAGTTTTTGAGTTTAATTCGTTGAAATCAAGGGACGTGGTGAAGGTCAATGAGAGTATGTCCGGCAGGACTGCCTTGAAATTGCTGGAAACAAGAAATGATTTTTGCAAAATGGAAAAAAATTAACGACATGGAAGATAATTAACTAAAAAAGAACTCACGATCTTACGTTGTATCTTATCGACGCAGATTTACCGTATCATGGGCAAAACAGTGGTAACATATCCTAAGCTGCTGGATGAAACTGATTTTTACATGGCTCTGGACATGTCTCTTCTTATTGACGAAATAAAGGTAACCAGGCAAGAAAGGAACTTCAAGTTTGAAAAGCTTATTAAAGTACTTCTTATCATGCAAGTATGCTTTGAATTCGGAATCGTCGTAAAGATATTCGTAGCAGTGATGGTAATGCAGTGGTTTTCCATTGCATTTTTTTCGTAAGTTCATAAGCTATGTGACCTTGAATATCATAGCATAATATGTTTCAGTTTTCTCTTTTGGAACTGAGCACTTATAAGTTAACACACTATCAATAGGCCCACTTGGACCCACTTACATTAATGTAACTCAATAAGTTCTGTTTTTGTTTCGAGTATCCCTCACCAAAGTTCGCTAACTTTGTTGATTCTTTCTTGAAACGTATCAATATTTCCGTTGCCCTGTTTTTCAGACGAATTTAGCCTTAGTGCGGAACAACTGGAATATGAAAGGAAGACCAACGTTGTGTCTTTTACTGCGAGAAAAGAACTTACGGTAAGGAATGTAACATCAGCTAAGGAAGAATAACAAGAGCAACCACGGTAAGTTGTACGTCTCAATTCAAAGCAGGAGCGGAACTGAAAAGGAGGGACATTCTTGTCTTCAATCGAGCACGTTTGGTGTGCTTCATCTCTGATCCTCACAGTGGCTGTTCAATAGACCACTTTCATAAATGACTGCCGGATTAATATTCTTTTGTTTAAATTTAAATAGCCCTTCTGGCCTCGTTCTCCAGTAAAAAATTCAAAAGAATATATTATGTCAAGCGAGGCCAGAAGGGCTAATTTAAATTTAAACAAAAGAATATTAATCCGGCAGCCATTTTATGAAAGTGGTCTATATAAAAAGCCCGTGAAGTCTCAATCTTGAGAGTATTATGATACACCAATTGTAGCAATTCTTTACCAGAGAAATTCTGCGGCTGGAAACTGTCCAAAAAATCTTTTATTTGTGGGTCACTGTTTTCTTTTGTAATGTTATTCAGAGGAAAGCAATTTCAAGAGACTCTTGAACTGTTAGCTTCATTCAAAAGAGGACTCTGTGGAGGAGTGAAAGTCAAACTCGGCAGACTCCAGGTACGGCACTTTTTCAAGTTGAACGGTTTCGAAGTTTTTGAATATCCATATTTAGAACGGTTGATTCAAATGTAGTCTTTTGCTTGATACAGACAATGGTCTCTACTGCTGCTATTGATCATCTGGACTTTCTTCAAGCTGAAAGCGATGTCAGCAGGTATTTGTGGTATCCTCTCGAGACAATTTCTAATTTCTTTATAAAAACTGCGTAAATTAAGAAAAAAAACATCTTTTTTCTTGTTACGTCTTAAAACTGATGAGAGTCTCTCTTCAATTTGTTAATTCCCGGCCCCAAGGTGAAATTAAATCGTTACTCACGTCTTCTAACACAGTGCTGTGAACCATTCGCTGAAATCACCACGGCCTATCATATAGCTTTAGCGGGCTCGGACTGAGAAGTTTGCACGCAGTTGTTTACGTCGTTTTGTCTCGGCTACAGCGAATGCGTTTGGAATGGGGTTGAATGGCCTTGATCACAAGGGAGAAGTCGTTTATGCGTCTACAATCTGGAAAGGAAAATGGGCATGGGCGTGTTTTAGGGTAGCTCGTAGTTCTAGGTTTTTTAGGTTTTGGTACTGAAAGCTGTGCTGTTAATATTGCCTTGAACAAATGTTGACTGTCTTCGGTAACCAACTTTTGGTTTTGTTCTTTCTTCAATTAAAATAGTATATCTCTATTTTAAGTGAGTTGAACGACACCGACGGAGGTCTGGACCAAGCACGTGTCAAGGAGAAGGAAGGTGAAGATTCCAATCCCCCTACGCCCGCCTCGTCTGAGGGGCATAGAATGAGTCGCACTGTACGGATGAGTCGCTCCATGACAGTGAGTGTTGAGGATGAAGATCATCAAGTTGATGAGGCGGATGGAAAGTAAGGAACCATGTCTATCACCTTGGAGGCCTAGGCCTCTTTTAAGCGTGTCTGGCAAAAATTTCACTAAGGTGCCAAAGAAAACGGTGAAAGAGGTGCGCAAATGCACTCTCCTCCTCTCCGCTTTGTTCAAATGAAGATCTTAGCTTCAGCATGCTCTTATCAAGGACCTTAATATATAGTCGAGAACGCGTTTTCCTGTGGAGAGTAGAATGCGAATTTTGAGAATTGAACTATGCCCTCTAATTTGTTCCGCCTTTTTTTTGTAGCTCCAGAGATCTGGTAACTAAGTCACGTGAAGCGCTGCTGGCTGAACTTCAAGACAAGCCAAGCGTCGACAGGCAGATGATGATATTACAAGAGCTGGTGAAACGAGAAGGGGAAGATTTCCAAACCCCTGATGGTTCACTCAAAGACATGGTCGATCTGCTCTATCAGAAGGCTGCTTACGATCGTAAATGGTCAGCAGTGAGACGGGGAGCTGGAGTGCTCAAAAAATTAGTTGACAGTCTTGCGCCCGGAATCACGACAATCCTAGTCAGCGGTAAAGTGGTAAGATGATATTATCGTGTGAGTAAGCTCACGCTAGTATAGGATGTTATAATCGAGTACCACTGGTGCCATAGGCAGCCTCCTTTTTAAGATTGATAAGGGTTGTTTTCGCATTTCCTGACGTTTTGGAATCGAGCCTTCGAGCCCAAAAAAATGGCGAGAGTTTGAATATTATGTATGAGAAAATACGCCACTTAGCACGTATGCTACCGAGTTTGAAACAAATGCTCGCTCGAGCCACAAATGTATCACGGTCTCTTCTGCTTTTGTACGGATTGCTTGCTACAGAAGAAAAATGAAGTGATTGTCGTACTTTATTTTGAGCTAATTGTCCTTTAATTTCGTTCACACCAGGTGACCATTGGTGTGTTCGGACACGAAGAGAAAGTCATATACGAACCGCTTACACCTGCAGCTATTCAGGTAAAAAATTCACTCAGAATTTGGTAGGTCATGTTCCATCCTCCATGTTTCACCAGAAATAGGCTATTGATAGTAAGACAAAATAGCTAATTCAGCGTAGAAAAATTCTCGCCTGAAGTAACTACATTTGCTTGGGCGTGCTTACGCAGTTTTTGCCAAAAAATTCGAGGCGAATTCTCATCAGTAGAGGTTAAATTTCCACTACCTATAACAAAATGTCCTATTCGCTAATGTAAGAAGTTCCTTCTTTTTTCAGAAAATCCTGTATTCTTTCTGTTCTCCTCATGACGTCAGAGAGGCAGTACTACAGCAAGAGGTCAGCGGCAAGCAAACTGTTTTTGTTTCCAGAGTTCAAATCTCTTGCAAATTTTAGAGTGTACCATGGAACTACAGTCATTGATAAATTATTGAAACAACCTCTTCATGATGATGTTCCGGTCTTTTTTTTTTTTTTTCACTATCTATCTATGAATGACGTTTTGAAAACAGGGCATGCATTTTTAGGCGCTCATTGCGCTATCCAACATTGGAAAGGGATAGAGTGCTATCAACTTTCCTACCTGACTGTAAGCTGAGGAATGTAAAATCTTCTCGTTATTTATAGAGTTTGTTCTTCATTTCAGATGGTTCTCTATTTGGCTGCATTTGTAGCCACTATGCCAACAGTTTTTGAAGGAATGCTCAAGATAAGAATAGGGTATGCGACTTCCTTCTCATTCTGGCCCCGGTTGTTCAAAGGTTGGATAACGMTGTCCGATCTCTATCCGGTGGATAACGATGTCCGATCTCTATCCGGTGGATAACGATGTCCGATCTCTATCCGGTGGATAACGATGTCCGATCTCTATCCGGTGGATAACGATGTCCGATCTCTATCCGGTGGATAACGATGTCCGATCTC